CCCATAGCCTGTGCATCCCATCACTTTCCTCTCCTATAAACACACAAACAGAAATCAACATAACCTCAAAAGAAAATGAAGATTCTACTCAAAACATAAACATCAAAATCACCTGAACATCTTGAGATAAAACTACAGGAGGAAGAAGACCAGTTATGTAATGAGTATCTCTCTCTTTATCAGTAAATGCAAGTCCTTTATTGTAACGAGGATCACGCATCAATGTATACCCACTATAAAAAAATTTTACAACTTTGTAAAAATTGTCACAAAAAAACAAGAATAGAAAGATCCAACATTTCTTGGTTTACAAGTTATTATGAAATCTTTTGCGATTCTTGAATAGAAGATCCCTAAAAAGATTTTATGATGGTACCTTGCGACAGAGGTAACCCAAGGAGTGACGAGTTGATCCAGTGTGGCACTATCTTCACCGTAAACATCGGAGATTCCACCACCGACACCGGACTTGTTACCGGAGACATATTCGTCGGAGATCTGAGTTTGATCGGTGCCCATTTTTCACAGTTTCGATCAGAAGAGAAATGATGAGAAAAGGAAAAAGCTTTTAGAGGAAAAGTGAATGTTTTTTGAAGAGATTAAAGTGGATCAGACATAGAAGAGGACAATGTGATTAATAATCGCCGATTTTGTAGGCGGAGACAATGACTTTTGGTCTGAAATAATCCAATTTTCTATTTGTTGAAGTTGAGGAAGAAAGACGACGACGAGTCTCGTACTCTTCTTGTCTTTGAGAAAATTGCAAAACAAATACACATCTTATTGTTTTTTTTTATGTAAACCTACCTCATTAAATTTGAGATTTATTTTAATCCCCAAATTATCAAACATTACAATTAAACCCTTTTTCGTCGTACCTAAAAACAAGAGCAAGAGAGTAAAGACTAAAGACCATGGTAGATAAGTTCTAATCACATGGTTAAGAAAAAAATCCAAATTTTTTGTCAAAATCAATAATGACGTTTAATTGTCACATATCAAAGGTAAGACTGAAATATATATAATATTTATATGTCACAAGCTATTTAGTTAAATTCTACTATTTTCTCTGTTACAAAATATACGATATTTTAGTTAAAAACACATATCTTAAGTAATTTTTCTTTTTTTCTTAAAACTACTCTTTCCGTTTCACAAAAAATGTTGTTTTAAGGTTTTAATCTTGTTTTACAAAAAATGTCGTTTTATGTTTTCAATGCAGTTTTTAAGACTAATTATCTTTTGTATCCTTATTATTCCAGCTTATTAATTAGGGAGAAGGAACTATCTAGTGTATTAATAAAAGGTATAAATGAATTTTGTTTATTTTTCTTAATTTGTGTTAAAAATAGTAGAATAACACTCTTTGTGAAATTGATAGAATATCATTTAATATTTGATTTAAAAAATTTAAATCAATTAGAAAAAAGATCGCAAAATACAAATAGTCATATAATATTACTTATATTTAAAATTGCGTATAAAATTGTAAAACATCATATATTTTGAAACAAAATAAAAACTTTAATACATGGTACATTTTAAAAGAGATGGAGTAGTTGATAAAGTAATAAGAAACCGATAGTATTTTTGGAGAAATGGAAACTTTGTATCACTGTCAATGTCACGCATTTTCAATGTCAAATACTAGCAAACTTGTCTCTTCAGGCTATTTTTAGTGTTCACACGTAGGGCTTAGTGGTATTTCGTTCGACAATTTATTACTATCATTATTTCGTTCGACAATTTATTACTATCATAATTTCGATATTCATCAGAACAAAAAACTCAAAACCTTTGTTGACATCTTCTGTTAGTGAGTGTTTCTCATTTTGTAATCTCCAATCTAACATTGGGATGCTCTCTTTTGTTTTTCTTGAATACATTTGTTATTAATATAACTAGTATGTTTAGAAATTCTGGTACATAACTATTACTACTGTAGTATTTATTTTAGCGCAACAAAGACGAATGCTCATTGAACCATTGATAAATACACTCAAAATTGTCTAACAGCAGAACATCTAAAACAATAGCAAAATTGGTACCTTGTCTTTTGTTTTCATTAAAATTGAATCTGATACCAAAATTCTTCACCCTTGGAGTTTAAGTTGGTAGTGGCAAGGGAAGCTTGGGCTTGGGTTTGGGTGAGTGTAAATATGTGTGAGTGTTGTAATGAAAACATCAATGCATAAGATTAAAGATTTATCTCTTCTCACTAAGTTGCTAAACGTTTTGTGTTTAAAGAAGAGAACCAAAACAGAGAAGTAAGAGAGAGCAAAGTTCTTTAGTCGAACAATTCTTGGGTTCACCCAGGGGTGAACCCTTGTATTCACCTCTTTTGTTTTTAACCAATGAATGTGCCATGTTATCTAACATTTAATTAAAAATAGAAAATCAAACAAATTAATAAAATAAATTAAGAAATAAAATCATTAATCAAAAGATAAAGTTAGTTAACGGAGACGTCGTTAGTTAACGGAGACGTCGTTAGTGTTAGTATTTCACGTTAGGGTTTTGATTTTTTTTTCCATGACCATTGATATTTAGCATTACCGATTCACCCACTTCTATTGTATTAGAACTTTCATAATTTTGGAATTGTTTCTGCTGCAACGTCAAAACTTTCTCCTCTTTCCCTGAAGCATACGACACGGTGATACAATTGATATTCCTTTAGACTCTGACTCTAGAAATGTATATTCTAGAACCAGAGAATTCTAAGTACCAAATATATCTCAGAATTATATTTCCATCTTCTATGATCACAATTCTCCAAATATTTTTAATTTTGCATGAAGCTACAAATATTAGTTTTCATCTAATTGCTTATCAGTTTGTAGTGGTATATGGGTGAAGCTTAATTAGTTTTTAGTCTTTCACACTGCTCTTGTATCTCACCTAGCTTATTAACTAACAAAGAAGCAACAAGATTTCCATCACTGTAGTTGCCAATGATGAGATTTGGTACACCCTGCAACTCTGCAGAAATTTCATTTGATGCATCCTAGTCACATAGAAACGTATTAGCCAATACATAAAAGAAAAAGGCATGATACACACAAGTATATTCTCTGTTTTATATTTTGTAGGAATTTGACAAGAGTTGTGGTGGTCCATCGTAAAGCTCTGTTATCATTTAAAACAGAGCATATGTTCTTTCAAAGTCACGTTCGTAGCACCAAGCTAGTTTGAGTTTTTTTTCTCTAGTGAAATCACATTCGAATTATTTTATTATTTTTTTCTAGATTGATCTTCTTTCTTCTTTCTTCTTTCTTATTATTTCCTCTCTCCATAGCCAGCTCGATCATATAGCACAAAGTATATCCCAATTTCTTCAACAAGCTCCTGAGAAACTAAATCAAACCACATTAGTCTTCAACCAAATTTCTACCGTCAACTAAATTATATGCACGATGAAGAAATCCCATTGGAAAACTCATGAACCTTCGTTGCTTTATATGTTTTGATTAGAAAATGACGTATCTATCTCGTTACGCGACGTACCTTACATATAGTCGAGCATTATGAAATGATAGTGTCCTAGTTGGGATATAATGTAAAATGATAATTGGTGATATCCAGTTGGGAGAAAAAAGAAGAAGCATTTAAAATGAACGGATGACTTTTACAAAAGTGGGACGTCGGGAAACCAAAGACAAATGATGGTATAAGGTTGACTTTATCAGTTAAAATACCTTTGTCTTTGCTCATAAATAAAAGCAATAGGTAAAGAACAAGAACAAATTTGAAAACTAATTGCAGGTAGTGATCATCTCTGATTTTTTTTTTTTAGAAAGTTAAATTTGATGGTGTGAATATAGAGATACTCATACGTGTGTCTATATACATATAATACAATTCCTATTGTGACTTGTAAAAGACTACAATATGATGCTGCTGAAACTTAGAAACTTTAAGCTATGTCCATTTCATAAATCTTAGGCTCCATCATATCCTGTACGGAAAATTGAACAAGTCAGAAAGAGAAAACAAGCAATCACTAGCAAAAATTGAACAAGTCAGGTTAACAAGAGAGACCAAACCAAGTAATACTCTTATACCACTTCAAACTGATAAGCAATTATATGAGAGCTAATAATTGCAGGTTCACAAAAAATTAAAGAGATTTGGAGAATTGTGGTCCTAGAAGATGGAAATCATAAAATTGCCAAGGAAAACCGTCGTCGTCTTTCCCATGTCTTCACGTTTCTTCAAACGATGACGACATATCAATGGCAATGGAAAAAAAATCAAAACCCTAACGTAAAATATTAACACCAACGACGTCTCCGTTAACTAACTTAATCTTTTGGTTAATGATTTTATTTTTTAATTTATTTTATTAATGGGTATTACGCCTTGGCAATATGACTGGCCTTCTAATGTTTTCACAATCAAGACGTTGGTTAAGCTAACATTAAGAATAGACGTTGGTCCAAATGCAATGTCATATTGTCCAAAAGTAGTTCTTCCAGTTCTAAAGAGTCTCTTTCTCCATGCAGTTTGGTATACATGCCATAGATTGTGCTATTCGATGCTTCCTGGTTGTCCAATACTTGAGGAATTATCCATACATCACTTACGCGGTAACCGAGATGCTAACAATCCGCCATTCTCTATATCCCACAAAAACCTCAAGAGACTCACAGTGCACTTCAATAACAGTTTTGACGTTGGGCGCCTAACGCAATTCGACACACCAAGTCTTCTTTACCTTGAATACTCTGGTTTCGCTCCTTGTCCCTATTCAAGGACCAGTTACTTGAATTCCCTTGTTGAGGCCAAACTAGATGTTCATATAAAACATGGATGTTATGTTCACATGCATCTAGCTACAATCATTGATTGGATATGCAACGTTAAGACCCTTTCCTTGTCTCCTGCTTCTGTTAAGGTATGTCTCTTTGTTTGCTAAATCCTCTTCTTCGTTATCTTAGTATCCTTTTTTGTTCTTGCGTTTCAGACGATGTATTCAAGATGTGTGGAATTACCTGTCTTATCAAACCTTGTTAAGGTTTATTTTGAAAGTAATACGAAAGAAGGTTGGGAAGTGCTTCCCCGTCTGCTTAACAAATCTTCAAAGCTAGAAACGTTGGTCCTCAAGGTTTCTCAGTTTAAACTTTTAAAATAGATAATTAATTCCCTTCCTTGTGCGTCAAGTATACAATCCTAACTTTGTTGTATATATGGTGCTCTATTTGTGATGCTTGCTCTAGGGCTTGCATTATGCAAGTGATCACGGAGTTTGCATTGATCGAAATGAAGTGAAGGTGTTGGAGATATATGGGTTTAGCGGACGTGGTAGAGAAGTGAGACAAGTGAAGTGCTTATTGCGGGAAATGCAGTTTCTTCAAGTGATGAGAGTGGAAATTGATGCTGATGATAACAAGAAACTGCGAGTCATCAATCACCTTCTTGATCTTCCTAAACGTCCATCTAAATTCCAAATCCAGTTCTTGTGAGATTCACCTTCCCTCAGTTTTGATTTGGGTTAACAGTTTCTCGGATTTTAAAAATTAGGAGAAATGGTAACCAAACTACCTCACTTTTTCTGGTCAGTTTTGCTCTTGGTTCGTATTCTGGCTTTAGTTTTATGAAAAGTAAGTTTGTACTAGCTATAGATTAAGGGTCAGTTTGATAGTAGTTTTAAGACAATAAATTCCATGCATTTATCCGAATTCAACATTAATGAAATATTCAACATTCACTTATTGCACATCATTATGCAAATGTACATCTCTAAAAATATTGATTCAACACAAATAGGCTTGGGTTATGGCCCTTACATAACCATGGGTTACTAAAAACAGAAACAAAGAAACTGGTCCCGGCGAAGCTTTAACCGGAAGCAGAGATCGGTGTCTGGACGGGAATGAAACCACGGGTCACTCATATTCAGAATTCCAGTTCATTATTATAGAGCACTTCGTAATAGATTGACGAAGACACTGTCAAATGCTTAAAAAGAAACGGAGTGTAAAAGGCCTTTTTTTAGTAACATAGAACTGGGTAATATACAAGACACAAAAGTGAATCAATACTAAAGAAAAAAAAAAAACGAAAGTGTAGCAATAAAACATGCGTTGAGTGATGGTGGAACATTCAAATTCGTAATAAATAAGCATTACATTATATTTCATCCTAATGTTGTTATCTATATTTCAAGTTTCTTTTATACATTTTGCTAAGCATTTTCATTAATGATTCATATTGAAGTAACTCTATTGGAGAAGCCAATTATATGGTGAAGAAAAAGATTGTAGAGATTTAAGGGACAAACTTCATTGCATAAACAACGCAGATTCCGAAACCTGGAATTTCTTGTGTAGCAAGAATTTCACATGCTCTCTCTAAGCTTTTACAAATCAGATGAGGATGACTTGGCAAATCCTAGAGCGTCTTCGGAATTTGTTTATCAACCCCTCATATGTTGAACCATGCCTGTTTCGATGTACAGTGATTTTTTGGAGGATAGATGAATTCTCTAAGAAGTATTTCGCCAGATTCAGTAGTTCATCATCAAATCCCATGATTTGGGCATCCAATTCAACAAACTGGAGCGACGATAGCAGACACTTAGGATTAACAGATGAAAAACTTAGTTGATTTATCTTCTCACTACCCAAAAATACCTAAAGAAAAAAAAGAGAGAATTAAATAACACTAGATCTTCTTAAAGATGAAAGTAAAAATTCATTGGTTAAGATCATCACCAAGACTAGAGATTCCAATTTGGGGCAGCTCTCAAGAAATATTGGTAACCATTTTATAAGGGACATAGAGAGAGTAACATGCATGTGGGACATGTAACCAAACATGTAACCAAACTGATGAGGCAGTGGTTCGAATAGGTAATAGTGACGAATGACCTGAAAAAAAAAACATAATGTGGGTTAGAAACTTATACATTATAGCAAAATGTGCATGTCCAATATATAATATACCTTGGAAGTGTACATGAATATCGTCATATCCACGATCCTCGTCATCCCGAGCAGAAAACTTATTTGATTCATCTCCTCAGAACCCATCTTCTCAAAGTCACCATTAAAAGCCACAATGAGGGATTTCAGATTCGGGCAATACTCAAGAAAATTTGGCAACCATTTTAATTCGGATACACGGAGAGTAACATGTAAGCGGGACATGTTATCAAATTGAGGCAGCGGTGCTAGATTGGAATAGTGATGAATGACCTGAAACCAAACAGAAAGTACTTGTGGGTTTAGAAACTATTCATTACAACAAAATTTGCATGTTCAATACACACACACACATATATATATATACCTTGAAATTGTTTTCACATATCGTCAGATCCATGACCTCCGAGATTGCCGGCAGAAAACTCCTCCATGAAACGCTTGTTTCGCCAAAATCCTCAGAACCAAAGTCGAGATGAATATCTAACTTGGCATTGGACTCCAGATTATTTACTATATAGGTTTCTGATACACTATCACTGATTCTCAAATAGCATAGTAGAGGAGCATCAATAACAACTCCCGGAACAGAATCAAACACCATCGAAGAACTTCGTAGTAAACGGAGCCTCTTCAGTGAACGAGATTGCACCCGATAGACTCTTCCATCATTCCATAATACATCAATCTTTAAGTCTTCTAAGACAGGGCAAGAAGCGACAAGTCTCTCAAAAGTGGCAACATTAGGAAACCGAACATAGTTTAGATGCATGATTTTCAGACAAGGTAAAGACACAAACTCGGGGTTAACCAAAGTCAGATGAAAGAGTTTTAGTGATACCAATGTATCACATACATAAAGGGTTAAGGGCAGCTCATGAAAATAATTCCCACGAACACGATGAACATATAGACGTTGGATGTTACGCGTAACAAAGGCATCGATCCATGATGTGAGATAAGATGCATCATGTTCATCAAAATATAACTTAAGATTGTGGATGCTAGAAACCCTATTGGAATCGAAAAACCTATCACCAAAACTCTTAAAGGCATTGAAATTTGGGAATATCGAAAATATCAATTCCAAACTAGGAACCTTAAGCCAGAGATTCTTCCATCTGGTGGATAAAACGCTTGTCGTGACAGTCTCCTTTATGGGAAGATGAGAAAGTATCTGACATATCAAAGGATCAGGTAATTGGCTTAATCTATCACTGTTCAATCTAAGTATCAACCTTATGGGATAACGAGCCTGTTTTGAGCTTTCTCTACCCATCATCATGTGTTTTCTTCTGAAAAAACTTAATTATTGTGCAAAACAAAATTGAGGCACAAGTTTTTGAGAGCTGGTTTGGAGGCGTAGGTTAGTTACAGTCATTTTGGACCTAGTATGGGCTGAGTTTTAAGTAACCCTAATTCATAAGTATGGGCTTAGTTTTAAGTAACCCTAATTCATAAGTCTAAAATTGAACGTTAGTTAGTGTTCTCTTATTTTGTATCTCCAATCTAAAATTGATACGTTCTCTAGATCTTCATTAATATAACTAAACCTAGACATGTCAATTAGGGTCAAAGCCCGCAGACTAGCCCAGCCCAGCCCTAAAAAATAGCGGGCTCGGGGTTCAAAATATATGTCCAGAATAACTCGGTCTGGCTGGGGTCTGACTAGCCCGAAAAACTCTTTAAACATATTTTGACCTTTTTTTGTTAATATTTTCGTTTAATTGTAAGATTTGTTGTAAAAAAAAGTTTTTGATAGAGTAGAAAATCCTAAATTTAGTTTTTTAATTGTGTATTACTATAAATCTAAATAGCAAATATTAGCTCTACTACCTAATTTGAATTATTTTTATTTTATATTTTATCTATTATAAGTTTAAACAATTTATTGGATTATTTATTTGATTTTAACTCTCTTTTAAAAAAACTAAATTAGCGTTAGTGGTTATTTAAATTTTGATTGACTCGTTTCGTATATAGATTCTTTTTTAAGAGATATTATAAATTATAAGTTTGTTTTTTTCTTGTCGGAAGAAAAGCCCAAAAAAGCCCTGGCCGGTCATTAAAATATAGGCTCGGAATTTTTACGGACCGGACTGGGCTGAGCTCAAATATGTACGAGTTTTGCGGGATTTAGGCCGGGCCGGATCGGGCTAGCCCGATTGACATGCCTAACTAAAACTATAGTCTTATTAATATAACTCTTGTATTTTGAAAAGCCTGGTATATCCCTTATTAATATATATTCACCAGATTTTTCAAGTTTGCAACACATAAATCTCAATCTTAGACAAATTAATTAATGAGTGTCTCAAATATACAATAGGAGCAAAAATTTGTAGGTTTCCGAGATAGTCTGACCGGGTCTCGGATTGTGGTTCGAACTATTCAACCGATGTGTTGAACAAAACAGGGTAATTATTATTAGTTTACCATCAATCACAAGTTTATTTTTGTTGCAACTTGCAAGTAGTAGTACTAGAAATTAGGATCAAGAATTGTATCGCAACCTTAAGGCCTATTAGATGGGCCTTTTCTCGGATATTATATTAAGTGGCCTTAGGATCAAACGTCGTCATTTAGGATGGTTTAGGTTATTTTAGGAAGTTAGTAGGACTAACTTTGGAATTTTTTCGGTTCTTAACAAATTGATCAACTAGTCTAGATCTGGGCATTTGGATATTCGGTTCAGTTCCAGGTAAATCTTTTTGGTTTCCAGTATTTGAGTAAAGAAGTTTAGGATCCATTCGGTTATTTTAGAATTTCGATTCATATTCGGTTATGGATATCCAAAATATTAGAATATTTATTTTTAAATGGTTAAATTTGAATAAAATTTGATTAAATTTTGATAAATATACCTAAAAGCTTCCAGATATTTTGAATATTTTGTTTGTTTTGGTCTAAAATAATTGATGTCGTCAAGTTTATAATTCAAATTTTAGGTAATTAGGTATTTTTTAGTGCAATGATAGTTTCGTTCATTCGTTGTCATTGCAAATCCGTAGCAAATAAATTTTGTTACAACTATCATGTATAGCAAATCCGTAGCAATGTAAAATCTATATATACATTTTTGGATGACTTTTAGCAAATAAATCCTGGAGTTGGAATGTATTTACGGATGAATGCCATTGGCATTAATTATTTAAATTTGAAAAATATTAATTAAAGATATTACCAACACGATTTCGAGAATCATAAATTCATATCTTCCTTAATTTTCTGAGTCATTAATGTGATAATCTTTAGGAAATATTTCTCTCTAAAAAAAAAATCCACATTAATAAAGGCATTAAAATCGACGCTAACAATTAAATTATTTAGATATTCAATTATTTTAAGATTCTTATATCTTATTTGATATATTTTTTTAATATCTCATTCTTTAATTACTGCGTTTAGAATTTATTGGTTGTTACCTGGTGAAATTTATTGGTTGTTACTTAATAAGTACTTATGGTGCGTTTATTTTAGTTAATATCTAATTTAAAGGATTTGTTTTCTTTTATTATTAATAAACGAATAACATGTATAGAAATAAAAGATTTTTCTTGCGACTCCATAATAAAAATATTAAACTCTTATTTTCTACATTTCTTACACATAATATCCTCTTATTCAATAACAAAAAATATATATTGCATATTTTTAAAAATATTTATAATATTTAAATTATATAAAAAGTTTGTAATATTAATATTATTTCAACTCTATACAAATTTAATATATATGTATATATATCTTATGGGAACCATTTCACGGGACGGGTAATATGATGGGACGGGTTTGGGTTGATATTTATAAAAGATAGTATACCACGGGTGAAATCCTAAAATTAACAATCAAAATAATCTATCAAACAAATTACATTTTGATTTTTTTAAGAAAATATAGCCCCGCGGTGTACCGCGGGTTAAAATCTAGTTTAGTTACAAAATTTCACATGTAGCTATATAAATATTTTAAAATTTTCTTGTAGGTACTAGATGTGGAGTGTTTTATTTTTATTTTTTCATCTTTTAATTGTTGTCAGTTTCATCTTTAACATTTGAATTGATTTTATTTTTTGTTATTTGTAAGAAATATGTATTGATTATGAGTTTTTAAAATTTTTTTTTTTTTAGAAAATTAAAATCCAAAGAAAAATAAATCGGACTTTCCATGTACAACATAATTCAAACAGATTCAAATATGAAAAATATGAGGGTTTTGCATAATTTGGACCAAGTTTATAACTCCTTTTGAAGAACAAATTAAGAAAAACAATGCATTACTCCTAATTTTTGTAATTCAAATGTTTGGTCACCAAATAAAAACTTACTTTAAACGATGAAAATGAAAATGAAAATGAAAATGAAAATGAAAATCAATTAATGTGTTACCAAATATCTCAATAAACCTCATCTTCTTTTTCTTTCCCACTAACAAAAGAGGAAACCTTTTATTGGCTTTACCGTGTTGTTCAAGATATACATGTGAAGTTGATCCTTTATAGGTCATTAAATTAAAGTTAAATTGTTCATGCTTTTATTGGCAGGACAAAAAACAAAAGCAAATAAAGAAACAGAACCCTCGAGACTATTCTCTAAAGTCTTAACACTATAAATACGCATCATAACAACATACTAATTATATATACAAGTGACTTGCTACACATATATACAACAAATACAAGAAAACACCAAAAGATCACATATCCTTCCAATGGCCCCCCTTCAACGCACAATCTCGGATATTTCACACCAAATATCCATAGACAACACTCTAACAAAAGAACCATCTCCAACCGCAACCGCAACAACTTTGTTGTCCTTATCAACGATATCCGAAGTGGAAGATGCAAAGTGCGAGTGTTGTGGCATGTCTGAAGAGTGCACGCCAGAATACATACACCGGGTGCGTTCAAAATTTTTAGGGAAGTTGATTTGCGGGCTGTGTGAAAAGGCAGTGGAGGAGGAGATGGAGAAGATGATCAACAGTGATGTGGTGGTAGAGAAGCGGCGAGAGGAGGCAGTAAAGGCACACATGAGCGCATGTTCCCGGTTCAACAGGCTAGGCCGGAGTTATCCAGTGTTGTACCAAGCAGAAGCGGTTAAGGAAATGCTGAAGAAGAGGTCTAAGAAGATGGTTGGAGTCACCAAGCCGGAAAAAGGTGGCCTCGCTAGGAGCTCTAGCTGCATGCCGGCTTTAGCTAAGGAGCTTAAAGATCGTACCTTGGTTAATTAGCTTATTTTTATACTCACGTAATGTTATGTTCATATATAGATTTGAATTTACATGCAGACGGAGATGTGAATTAAGTGAGTTATATATATGTAGTTAAAACTGATGGAAGTTTTACGTGTGTAATGTAAATTTTTTTTTGTTTCGTCTAATGTACAATCAAACGTCTGTGTTGTCACTAGTATATTTATTTGTGGATCAATCATGTAAAAGAAATAAGACTTTGACATCAAAGTATAAAAATATCGAACCTTAATATATGCTTATTTCCTGTCTACATAATAACATAAGCCTACAGATTCCTTCAACTTATTAGTTGAGCACCTAGATGGTAACATAGGTCGATGAAACTTATTTTGTTTAGCTCCAAATTAAAACTAGATCACACAGTAATAGTCCAGTGTTGAAAAGAAAAACGTATCACTAGGGGTTGAACGAGACTTGCTTGACAAAACATAGCTATCCTAGAATCCATAATCAAAGAAATCTGTATAGGAGATATCAACAGTTCATTTGATAAGAGCATATCTCATAATAAAAGTCATAGGTGATGTGTTGTGTTTTTGACGGTTTAGAGTCTTTGTTTTTTTTCTTAGATCATATCTTTTATAGAGTCAAATTATGTTTTTAGAGTTTTTTAGTCATTTATCGAGTCTCTACAGGTTTTAGGAACCTATGCTGGAGTTGGAGGCTTTTCGTATCAAAAACGGGCGTTAGGAGATGAAATGGGAATATGGTGATCCAAGACAAATCTACTGGAAAATTGCATCATGCAAATCTCATCAGACAACTGCCTGATGCACAAATCCGGGTTTCTGCCCAAAAATCTGCTGAAGAATGGCATCAGGCAAATCTCATCGGGCAACTGTTTGATGCCTAGTTCCTGTTTTCCTTAACTAGTTTTATTTCCTATTTTCTGTAACTGGATATAAAAACCCCAGAAAGCTAATTTTCTCATGGACGTTTTCTTTCTGGAATTTTTTCTGAGACCTTTCTCTTGTAAGCTTTTTTGGATTCTAGAGATTCATCCTCTTTGACATTTTGGAGAAGATTTCTAAACCCTTGTTCTTTATTTATCAATTCAATTATGCTCTCTTTTCAATCTATTTGTCTTGTTTCTATTGTTGTCTATGAGTAATTCTCCAATTGGGTTTTAGGGTTCTAATTAGGAGATTCAATGGATTAATGGATTGATTGTTATTAGGAATTCTCATTCTCTAGGTTCTTTGATTCACATGTTCTTAATGCTAGAATAGGATTGATCACCCTGTTGTAGATTCTAGGTTTTTCTATGCATCAAAAGTGTTCGATAGAATGCTTGAAAGAATGTGAATTGAACAATGTATTTCTAGCCAACGAAAGTTAAAGTTAGGACGCATTGTGAACTAAATGAACTTGTTTGATAATGCGAATTTGACTAGGAAATTACATGCGAAAGTTTAGTAATCGAGTAGTCAAATTTAGTGATTAATGTCTTGAAAGAGAATTAGTCTAGTTGTGTTCATGTTCAAGAACGGTTCTTAATTGTTGAATTCCTTGTCTCATGTTTCCATTGTTCATTGATCTCTGAAATACCCTATGACCCAATGTATTTAAATCTTGAAAGTTAAATCGTTTAATTTATTTGCATTTTTATTTTACAATCTAAAAACCCAAACAAAACAACTCTTCGTTTTAGCTTATAACGAGTCTCTGAAGTCTTTAGTGTATCATTGGTTCTTGTGGATCGATCCCGTATATACTACCTTGCGGTTAAGTGTATCGGCCTGACCACCATCGTAGACGTAGTTGTGTAAAAGGAGACCGCGGTATTGTTAACTCATATCTATTAGGAATCGGATTAACTAATCCTCCTATGAAAATCACATACGCAACATCACTCATAAGCTAATCTTCGGGTAGGTTCTACTCTACATGTAAGATTTTATTGGACGTCAGTTGAAAACGTAGTATTGGATAGTTTCTTATCACCATTCCACTAGAATCCTAGCAAATTTAACGTCACGTTGTTTTTACACATTATATAACGGCACGCGGTTCTCTAGAGCATGAGTCTTTGCTTACTTTCAAAGAATCATCTTACCTAAGCCATGAGTAGTCTCGTTTCACGTCCACTAGTTAGCCTGAATTTAAGTATTGCACCACGTGTCTTTCGCTTTTGGCACGTGAGGAGCACTCTTAGGCATCTTTTTGGCCACTCTTACGCATTTCTCACGATCCGTTATCATTATTCACTAAACATATACTATATAGGAAGATAACATAAACCAATTATTATTCTATTATATAAGGATTGAGTGATGTAATTTTCAAACGCAAGAAGAGTATGGTTCAAGCAATCACTGAATAGCTAAGATGAATAATTGTGAAAAGATATAATAGTGATGTAATTATCCATCATTTCGAAGGACGTTCGGGGTTGGCGTAAGATCAATATCTAGGTCCCACGGAACTAAAGTCTTCTCAAGACACGTGTCTGAAATAAGCAGACAATCATGTGAATCTACTGAATCATTAGTGAATCAATGATTCCTATGAATTGTCGACGCTTACTTCTTATAATAGAAATCTACTATGAGATAGTTACTTTGAGGTTAAAAAATGAGACATTTACTTTGAAGTGAATATATTTCGTAGTCAATGAGATATTAAGAAACAATTAAGAAGTATGAACAATTTTCCCTCCAAAAAAAAAAAAAACACATACACACAAGTATGATGGTGTTAAGGTTTGACTCCAAATCCATGTATTAATATCTATAAACACCGATTACAAACAGAGAACCCTAATTGATATGTAGATGGGCACCTTTTAGAGTCTCAATAAGATCTAGGAACCCATAACATTCTTCCGCATACTCATTTTTTGGCTGAAACAACTCAGCAACAAACTTAAGAAAATGTAAAACAAATTTATCTAAAGATATACCAATAACAGCAAACCCTCTAAGCCAATCCATGTCTTCACTTTGCCGTCTCAGCCTCAGCTTCATCAACAACTCAATTGTATAAGATGGATAATCCCATATTTTTGATAATTTTATTTTTTTAATATCCGTCACTTTTACTATGAAAAAAATATAGTAAGGTAATATACAATGATTAGAAAAAATGATAAAATAAAAAATTATTAGGATAAAAAAAATGATTAAATAAATAAACAATGAGTTTTGTTCTCTTTATGGATTTTGTAAGATGATGATTCTTGATTTTGTAAAGGTTTTATTTAATGTGGTTTCCATAACGAATCGATTGTATAACTACTAAAATAAATATATTAAAAATATCATTATTTTGTTTTTCTCAAGCTCATAAATATATGAGAAGAATTATAGAAAAGTGGTAGACATTTATCGTTGGATTTATAATAGTAGTCTATCGTTTGTGCGTTCTAAACTTTCTTGCTAAAAACATTATTATAAAAACTTTGTGTAAACTATAACAACAAAAAAAAAAAACGTTTATCCATGCATATCTTATTCCCCCTAAAGCATTGTGTTGTATTGATGTAGCATCTTTTAAACAATGCATTTCAACCACATGTACCACCTTTAGGAAATTGTTGTGAGTGCTTTAGTGAAAATTTTGTACAAATGTCACATGCATAATCTTATTTGTTCATAATCTTTTCTGCTCGTCTTCTTTCTCATCATATTTTATTTGGGGTTTCTCTTGTCAGTTTTTTCTACATGTTTGTTATGAATGTCTTACAGTACAGAATTTATTAGAAGACGTTAGTAAATAACCATTACGGACAGGGAAACGCAAAAATATACTCATACATCAACCAAGTTCTATTGCTGAGGTTGCAAGTTTCAACCAACTCTTTGCCTCTATTGGGTAAAGATGAATCTAACCCAATACCTCCTATAGTATATATCAAAAATTACAAAATCGCTTATCTTTGCATATTCCGCCGTTCAGCTTATTTCCACTAATAATAAATAAGGTTATGTATCCATTCTATTTGAATATATGATGTATATCAAGATCTAAAATACATTAGCCAAGTTGGAAAAATAGTTCTTGATCCAAATGTGGAGTCGAGTCTTTTAAAAATCTTATAAATTCTGTAAAATTGATGAATACGATAATGATTCTTACACATTACACGGATTTGTTCATGTTTTGTTCATATGGGTGTATGAGAGTGTTCATGATTTAGGAGAAAATTATGGGTACAAATGGGAAACCACTGAGTTCCTATACTGAACTAACGATCATCTTGTTCGCCTTTTAAATTTGAAGAGTTCTTAAGTGAGGAGAAGGCTACTCATGGACCGGTTTGTTATTTACGGCATGGACTAAAATGAAAAACAATTCTCAAAGATCGGCCGATCCATTTAAGATCTTCAACTAAATTATTAATGAAAAACTACTCACGTAAATATTTTTTTCACAAGATCCTCAACGAAATTATTAAAAAAAAAACTAAGTAAGAACTTTTTTCATAAGATCCTCAAATAAATTATTGATGAAACAAAATCCTCAAGTAAGAGTTTGTAATGGAAAAAAATCCATCTATAATTCCCTCTAAACAAATATCGTTTAATCGATACTCTGTGTCGTTATTGATTGAATTTGTTTTAGACTTAAAACAACGTGGTGTTTGATCAAAAACAACATGAATTTTCAAAAATCACTACTAATGTAAACTTAAAATTTAAAAATCGTGTAAAATGTAAATCACCATTCGTCACCGTGCTTCTCTTTTATTTCATATGCATTTAATTCCTATAATTCTACATGGATAGTCAATTTTCATCGTTTTATGCAAAGATGTGATATTTTAGTTATAAAATATAGTAATTGATTATTTCGTATTCTCAATCGATCGCATCACATTTCTTATGTCTAAAAAAACAAACAGTGCATTTTCTTATGTCTAAAAAAATATGCACATTGTTTTATAACATAACATAATGCAAAAGTATCGATTTGATAGCAGTAGTTTTAGGGTTTTGGCGACACAATAGTCTAATGGTTTCTTATTTGTTAACGGTTCTTTACTTGATAAGTTTTTTTCATTGAATGGTTTATTTAAGGGGTTTAAAATAGATAAATCTATACTTGAGTAGGTTTTTATTAATCGGCTGATTTTTTTTTTTTTGAATATCTGGAAGTTCAAACCCGAAGACTAGGCCTGGGACTTTGAACCGAACCAATTTGTCCGAACTGAACCGAACCGAGATTTGGACAAATCGGTTCGGTTCCACTTAATTGAGTTAAACCTATCGGAAAGAATTTAATTTAGTTCGGTTAACTG